AAAAGTTTACTGTCTTCCACAGATAGTAAGACTACACCTAAATGAGAAAAAAATTGTTTGGTCATGTGCGCTGGGAGGGGATTTGTGACTTTGTAGAATTTGGGGATTTTTTCCAACCTTAATTTTACCGCCGTGTTAATTTGACTTAGCGCGTTCTCATCGACACTATTGATAAAACTTTGTGACTGATAAAGATCTAGAGAGTTTTTGTAATTTTTCAGATTTATTGATTATAATAACAACAATAATAGTGATTTCATGTGGGTAATGGAGGATTTGATTAAATTTCAAATGGGAATTCGTCGTGTATATAGCAAATGAAGCGTGAACTGAAAAGCTCCAAAGCACTGGACAGCTGTTTTGACCTGGTTGGGTCTCATCAACTCGAAAGCACTGAACGGTCTGATCAGCTTCCCGGCGGCGTAATGGGTAGCACGCTTGCGTTCTGCCCATGAAGTCCCGGGTTAGATCCCCAGTCGGGTCAGTGGATTCGCACTGCTGATGAGACCCAACCAAGTTGAAACAGCTTTTCAGTGCTTCCGAGCTTTCAGTTCATGCTTCATTTGCGTTATACACGTCGAATTCTCATTTGAAATAATAGTAATATTAATCAGAGTTTGACAATATTCCATCTCCTAATCTTTCCCAGATTTTCATGTTTAAAAATAGTTAGTTAAGCCTCTACCGGTCAAGTTTCTATTTCCTCAGAGTTAATAAAGTATAGCAATTGTTTCTTCACTTCGTTTTGATTTATTGGGCATACAATGAAATGGCCGCGGTTATTGTAGGCAGTGGCGGTCAATCAAAGGCACCTTCAATAAGTACAGAAATACGGACAAATGCCGGTAGTGGCGAGCGTTCATTTCGTGCTCTTCGAATAATGATGCTACAATGACCTTGACCGCTTGATTACCTATCCAAAATTGCATTTTTTTAATTGTTGTTTTCACCTCTTCCCTCCTACTGAGCATACTGGTATACGATGTATTTTCCCCATGTATACTCCCAAAAGAAAACACTTAAGTTTTTCTCGCCTTACAACATTAAAATCTTTACAAAATTATTTATGTAACGAAGACTGTTTTCTGGAATTTGATTTTTCATACGCATTTACACGACTGTCATAAGTTTAAAGACAAATTATTTTTTGTCTGTTAAAACTATCGTTCGCATTAGTATTTTGATCAATGTGAATAGAATACTCACCGAACTCAAACTTCTATTGGCGTGTACAACCAAATACAGACATCACACAGTCCCATAACTTGGTCCAACTTTGATTGATCAGACACAGTTTTTTTAATCTGTAGAATAGAATATTTTGTGCTAGATATGTTCTACTTATTCGCCTAGTTTGTTGCACCTTTGAATCATATTCAGTGTGAGTGTGAAACACCCTTCCCTGTATGTGATTCTAAACCGATCATTTGCGCACTTCTTTTGGGGTAGCACAAAACTGAAGTGGACCGTTCATAAAATTCTGTCCACAGTGGGCGAACAAAATGGCTTGCTTGACTCCCATGGTATTCTCGCCTCTTTCCTCTTTTAGATGGGTGGCCTGGAATCTGTGATCACAGCTGTAACGGATATGATACCCTTGACTTTGCTCAAATACAAGGCATTTCGACCGCTCCTCACTCTGGTAATTCTCGGCTCAGCTTGTACCGTGGCCATGGTGAATGCAACTAGTGTGAGTTTAGCACTGGATTTTGTGCGCGAACACTTTTGAAAACGGACAGGGTAAGGTAAGGTGAAGGGAGGAGGGGGAAATACATTTCATTCGACTGGAGAATTTATTTGAAATTGTTTGATAAATTATTTTCCCTGTTAGTCTGACCTGGTAAATCATGAATTGATTTATTTCTTCAAATGCGATGGAAATGTTTGTGATCAACGACAAAGAGCACTGGACAGAGCTGTTCTGTCCTGTTTTGAGAGACTCGTCAGCAGTGCGCGTACTTTTTGTGTCCCTTTCCGGACTCGAACAGCAAACCCTTACCCCTGAGCTGCACAGTCGACGGTCGGCACCTTGTGAGAATGGCTCAAACGATTTAGGGTATCAAGCTTCGAATGGCCCATTCAGTTGTTCAGAGGTACTAGGCACTCATGATGGTCTTGGGGTTGATTGATTTATTTCTTCTTACGATTGTCACACCATTACATAATTGATTTATGTTCTTGAATTAGAGGCGTGTGAAATATAATAATTGTTGTAACCGCACAGGACCGTCTTCCATTAAACATTCTCGACCAAAGAGGCAATCCACAGGTGGTGAAATAGAATGCAGAGGGAAATATATAGAGATTGTTTTCTTAGGCAAAATATACATGATTATATATAGGGAAGAAAGAGGACATGGAAATGCGTATATATATATATATATGTATAGCTATATATATACCCAACGACTGGTTGACTGGGTTGTTGCCAGTCGTTTTGTTTGATTGGCGGTTCCGACTAATCAAATGAATTCATCTTTCCTTGTATTGGTTTGGTGTCTTAGAACAAAGCAGTTTTCAGGGAGCATGCTGACACCCTGGAACTAATAATAACAATGAGGTTAATGATTTTCAGCGATAAGCTTCCATTGTTAGGCTTTTATTACATCGCACACAGCTCATTCAGTCAGATATGTCCACCGGTTCTGATTTTCTGAAAAATAGGATAATTTTAAATAGAGAAACGTGTTTTCTCACCGCTTTGATCCAATATTTGATATTACCAAATTTAGATTACATCTCATTTGTGATACTCCTAAGACATGTGCGTAAATAAAACAGCTCTCTATTTCAGACCAGAAGGTTTTTTAGCAGACACTGTTGTGTGACGAGTAGAATAAACCCTAGAACTGCATATTCATGAAAACCTGTTACTGTTCACTCATGGGCACCGGCAACCCCAAACCCCGGGAGGGGGATTTGGAGTGACGAGCCAAAAAAGGTCCCACTAGCCCAGGCGTTATCTTAACCGTGGCGACGACGAAGCTGTTTTTCACCAACACTTGATAGCACTGACTGGGTTTTAACCTTCCGATCATAGGGTCCGAGATGCACTCACTACTGATAGCGAACTAAACCACCTGATCAAAACCATTCCAAACTCACTGTCCCGTTTGTATTAGTTATGCACCGACTACTCTAATGACCAAAGTTACTCGGGCCTGGATTGCGAGACCGTAACCTCATGTTTACTGTAAAATCAGTAGAGTAGTTTAAAATTTTGTTAATATAAACTAAGCAAGAATCAGCACCACCAAGGTATAGAGGAGCACGATTGTCGAAAAATCAGTTAATGCTAAACAGATAGCTACTGTATAAACCATAATCAATGACAAGATAATTTGTTACTCCGAATGTGGATTCCTAATCATCAAATATGAATATTGTAGTTTTTCAATTGAGAGAAATATCTAGGATGAAAACGTTTGTTACAGAGAGAATACAAATGACCGGATTACCGAGGTCTGACACGGGAGTCCGCGAATGAGAAAAACGAGAGACAACCGACCATCCCTGAATCAGAGTAACGTCTTGTACCAATTCACCCCATAAACGAGTAAGGTGACCGTGTTGGTAAACTGGTCATTCAATAAACTACGCGACAAATTAAACGATTAGTAGAAGAATGAGTCAGGTAGAACGAGGG